TCATGTTTGCGATAGTACTCACCGAAGATTTGTTTCTCGATGAGCAAGGAATGTTCCTAACTGGTTGCATGCGCGAACAAGGAGATTTGCTTCGCTGTCCATGTGAATTATCAAAGCAATTGCTTCAAACAGCACTGCATTTTTGGCATTGGAATGTTGAACCTGGACAGTGCAAAATAATGTTATAGGCAGATAATACAAGTATAACAACCTTTTTCGATTTCGGAGCATCTTGTGCCTTGTTCAGTACACCTTCCAGGCACTCCAGCAAACGAGCTTTGTTCGACGGGTCTTCTACACGAAAAATGCGAGATAATCGTCAAGACTTTGCCAACAGTAAATATTTACCTGGTGGAGGATAATTTTGAAGCAAACGAAGAAGTTTGACACATAGCCAAGGCGCTGGGACAAAGTAATAGGTATAGTCCTGTAGATCAGTGTACGTGGCGGTAACAATCCTACTCAGACGGGAGATTGCCAAAGGAACACAGCCCTTGAATGCACGTTGCATGACTACGTTGTAGAAACTTTTTGGAACTGACTATATCATTGTAAGATATAAACTCACTTTGTATTCATCAGGCCACTTCTTGGATAGAGATTCAATTAGGGACGCTGCCGACGTGACAACTCCCTAAAACAATAGAATCTCAACAAAAAGCTCGTCTAGCACACGAAAATTACCATATGAGAATCGTTGAGTAGGTGAACTATTCTGCTCGCGTATTCGCCAGGCTGTATGATGTCAGGAGCAGTGCGGAAAAGCTTCAAAAGGCACAAAGCGGCAGACTGTTTGACAAAATCAATGGTGTCTCTAAACATTCAAGCTCGATGACAATTCAAGAATTTGGAACCCGTCATACTTCGTCGAAAAAAGCCCAAAAGCGCCACTGAGGGATGGAGCGCCCCTTTCGCGCACAAGTAATAGATACGTATTTTGCTTCATTTTCGGTCGTATGCACATCAAAATAATGTCAAAATTCTACCACAAGTTCAGGCAGGATGAAACGGAATGCGTAGCCATGCA